TTATGTGTGTGTTTGTTTTTTTTTGTTTTGTTTTTGTGTTAAGGTGCCTCACTTCTTTCTCTTAGTGGCTCTGTTACATGGAGCCTTAGCGCTATTGCTCTTTCTTTCCTTTGTACACATCCTATAATCCTGTGCACAAGAACTACAAATTAAGATGGTCAAATAAAAGAAATCCATTAGTTTTATTAGAAGTATCTTAAAAGTACATAAAACACAATAAAATATAACACAAGCTTGTTTGATCACATTAAATTAACTTTATCAAAGGTACACTACAAGAAGTATTCAACTCACCACACTCTATAGATGTTCTACTGTTGTCTTGTCTTGTTTCATACTTGGACGCAATGAGGATCTCTCTAGGCGCTGCTCCCTTCATTATATGTCCATTTCCTACCTCTGACCAGAATAGAGGGACTCTGATTTCGGTTGTCCCAGCTGCCTTCATCTGTACACTACTAGTGCTAGAAACTTGCATTTCTTTTTTTCTACAAGTAGTTTTCAGCAGCTTTGTAATGGGAGAGTTTTGTCGATTGATAGGATACCAATATTTCATTGTATCCTGTATGTGTTTTTCTAGTAGGAAAGCAGATTCACTGAGCTAGAGTATAATTTATTTTTGTTGTTTCTCTTTGTACCCTCTCCAGTGGGGACAGACGGACGGCAACACGTGGGAGAAGACCATTTGCACCATCGTCCTGGAACTCTCGCAGCAGAGTAAGTTCACTAACAAGGGTTTATTGAGTTTTAGAATTTCCTCAACTTTTGATCCTTGGGTAAACTTTCTTAACTTTTTTACATTCCCTATTATCCGTGAATTTACCAGGGAACAAGAGAAAAGTCATCTGAAAAAAAGCGGCTCTCCAGTACACCTACTTACGACCGGAAAACTGAGAAAGGTAGCTTAATTATCATGTCCATAATGCTTTGTTGTGTATTGCTTACCCTATATTTATTATCTCTCATGACTGATCCGTAATCTATTTTATGCTATACAGAAAACCGTTTTGACGCAATCTCTGACCTCTCAGACATTGATGCCCGGCTACAGGCACTGCAAGATTACATGAAGAACCTGGACACTCGAACGTAAAGTGATCATCTACACCCGGACAGCCCCGTCTTATACCAAATATAAATGGTGATGGGGTGATAGCAACTAGACTCTACTGGTGTCGTGTTTTAAATTTTTTTTTTTTTTTAATGTAATCATATCACTGCGTGAATGGACGAATCCTTCTCTTGGCTTGTTTGAAGCCTCTCGTTACATATGGATTTGGCCCTGCTTTCACCATTGGTCCACATTGGTGTTGAATCCAGATTACACAGAAGCTGATTGTATGTTCAGGTATTCCCTGGCCTATGTAGATGAAGGTCCATAGTCAAGAAATGAAGGGCATAGAGCTCTAATTTATAACGTAAACCATTTCAATTACGTGTACTTTTTCATGTGAGAGTTGGTTCATTAATGAAGTAACCAAAGATGCCAACAAACTAAGTCTCTGAGAGAGAAAATGGCAGGTTGGTTTGAATTCTATATATTTAAACTAGAATAAACTCCTAATTACTCTCTTCTTTGAGTATGTTGCTGTTTTTCATTCCCTTGTGTAACTCTGTGAGCTGTTTTGCTATATGGGCTTTTCTTTGTGGTTTCAGTATCGGGCTGTTAACTGACTTCCCATTGTAACTTGATTTTAGTGTGTGAGGTCCATTAACAGAATGGAGGATGATTTATGGAGAGGAAGCTACAGAGAAGCCCACGAGGGAAAATAGCCCCTGCCCTTACACAACAAAAAAATCTGAAAGCTGGGGACACAAAACGAACAGGAAAAAAGTTTGTTTATTATGCAACAGAAATGTCAGGACTATTGTAATGCTACCATTTAGGTGTGGAAGGAACACTATAGCCGGAAACTCTCTTATTTTTTTTATTTTTTTTAATCGTGTGTGTATATATTCTTTATAGAAGTTTTTTTATGGTGGTTTTAATATGGGAGATTTTGTTTCTTTTTATTTATGTTGTTCATATTTTAATGTGTACAAGAAATGATTACTTGAGCCATTTTTTTTGAAATGTTAAATATACATGTATTTAAGAACAAATAACATATTGTGTATCTTGTTTTTTTGTTAGTGTGTGTGTGTGTGTGTGTGTATGTATATGTGTATAATTCAACTGCTGGGAATGGACGGGTTGCATCAAGTGTAACCACCAAATGACATGTAGCATGAAATGATGACTAGCGTGTTGGTGTCTGTGAATTCCTTATGTCAGAAAAAAATTAAATCTAGTTACATTTTGAGGTACACCAAGATATACCCCCTCCCTCACCAAGGCCAAATTCTCTCTGATCTTAATCCTCATTGGCTGTAGTCACTTCCCATTGCTTGACTGGTGTGGGGCGAGGGAGGGGGGGTGTGTGTGCTGACTTCAGATGCCAATTTTGCACACAGAATTCACAGTCAGCCCGAACTTTATTCTGAGCTGGCTAGTGATGTTGCCAGAGGTGGAGTTACACCTCTGGAAGTCAAGAGCGAAACACTGCACATACAGACATCAGGCACCATGACAACTTTAAATCACTATAGTGGTCGTGGTGCTTGGAGTTGCCCTTTTAAATTCCACTGGACATCTAGAAAGTGAAAGTAACTTATTCTTAAATTTTATTTCCCCCCGCCCCCACATCTCCCCCTATAACTTGGATAGCTTCTCGGAAGGTTTGCAGTCTGTTCATTGCTGCTTTTGAAGTGTTGTGAGTGCTAGTGGCTTACAGCAAATTTGTGCAGTAGTGCTGGTGAGTCACACAACCCCTGAGCACCACAAGGAGTGGAATATAAGCTTCTATAATCAAACCGCTCTGAACACCTTCATAGGTAATGGGGGAGGGAGGGATCCAATATACTTACCAGGGGTCTGAATTGTTATTCATAAATGGCTAATGAAGCCAAGTGGAATTGTGTGTGTAACTGCATAATGGATTCATTTCCTAAACTCCTGAAATTTCTACAAAGTCGAAATAAAATGGTCTAAACAATTCCTCAGGCCAGATTGTAAGTGCAGCACAGAAAACCCAGACAAACATCTGGAACTTGGTTTAGCTGACTGAGCATTCTGATTTTAAAATTATTTTATTAATGCAATTTTGGCCTACCATTTGCAATACTTGTCGGTTCTTCTCTTTCTAAGTCGTAAACCGAGAGTCAGTGAAGTTTTTATAGTATTACATTCTCATTGCTTTACAGTATATTAACTATACGCTGAAACTGAACTGCAGTGGATTGAATTCTGAATTGCAAAATTTAGACAAAGTGCTGATTTGGGAAAAAAATCTCCAAATTGGCTGTAGTTACAGGCTGATCATTTTTAAACCTGAATTTTGCAATTCAGATTTCAATTCACTGCATTTCAAGTGATTATTGCCCTAATGTACCTCTCACCCAATTTTTCTGCAGCAGTATCTGGCATGGAAGTGTTTGTTGCTTACCCAAGGTAAAATGATCGTTCGGTATTTTGAGCATGCCCGAAGCAGGTAAGAGAATTAGATTTCAACTGGAAATTCAAGATGTTTTTGATTTTTCTAATTGCCACATGCATGTTAAAGCAGATTAATCTGTCATTTGAAACTGTATGAATCAAAATATTTAGTGGTTTTGTAACATTTGCCTTTATAGTTTTCCTGGGGCTGGATGCAGCTAAATTCTTTACCAATATAAGTCAATCACACGCTTCTTAAATTAATGTTTAAAGGAACAGTATAATGTCAGGAATACAAACCCGTATTCCTAGCGCCTTAATCTTGAAGTGGCTGTTTAGGTGACCCCCTTATATCGCTTTGAATAGGTTATTTTACTCCCCTTTTCTCCACACGCCACACTGGTCTCCCTGCTGGCTCTGACTCAGTGGCTGTGATGATCAAACCTCCTATACTAAAGCATTGGGACGCTATCGTGCATGCATTGCAAAATGCCGTGCTGCCCCAATCAGCATCTCCTCATAGAGGTGCATTGAATCAGTGCATCTCTATGGGGAAAGTTCAGCGCCTCCATGCAGAGCGTGGAGACTCTGCACACTGCAACTCGGATACAGGAAGAGGTGTTAAAGGAGCACTATCGGGTCAGGAACACAAACTTATATTTCTGACCCTATAGTGTAAAATCCACTTTCTGGCCTTCCCTTTACTAAATATAGTAAAATCTTACTTGAATTCAAGCCTGAAGCTGCTGACTCTGCCCCTGTTTGCCTCAGAGCTGCAAGCTGTCTGCTGACATCATCAGAAGTGTTGTTCTTAGGCAATAACAGTACTTCCCCATAGGATTGGCTGAGACTGTCAAGGAGGCAGATCAGGGTCAGAGCCAGCACAATTCAAACACAGCCCCGGCCAATCAGCATCTCCTCACCGAGATGGATTGAATCAATGAATCTCTATGAGGAAAGTTCAGTGTCTGCATGCAGAGGGAGGAGACACTGAATGTTGTGATGCATACTGAGCTAGGAAGCAGCTCTAGCAGCCATCTAAGGAGTGGCCAGTGAAGTTATCACTAGGCTGTAATGCAAACACTGCATTGAAAAGACAATGTTTACTGCAAAAAAGCCTGAAGGAAATGATTCTACTCACCAGAACAAATTCAATAAGCTGTAGTTGTTCTGGTGATTATAGTGTCCCTTTAATAGGCAGCAATGAAAACACTGCCCTTTTTGTCTTAAAAAGCAGTGTTTATGGTCCTAACACTGCGGGGACAGGCTATAGACACCAGAACAACTACATTAAGCTGCAGTGGTTCTGGTTACTATAGTGTCCTTCTAAGAATAATCAAGTTATTTTCTTAATGTGCACGACCACTTTGTCATTATGTCAAAGCAATGGATAAGTGATCTGTAACCCCATTAGAAGTTGGGTTAAAGGTTAAAGATGAAACCCTCCCTTGTCCTGCTTTCCTTATATGTAATTTATTGTAGTCCACTCACACCTCATTAATGGTGGCTAATGTCTTGGAACTTTCAGGTTACAGGACAGGATTGGCTGACACTAGCAGCCACTTTTTGGTCCCTCTAGACTTGCAGGAATTGTAGGAAGGCTTGAGGGAGAGCATTTTTAAAAATGCATTATCACTATGGGCTAAACAGAGCAATGGCCTCTTTTAAAGATGTATCTTTGTACACAAAGTGATAGTTGGAGGTATTAATTTTAACAAATTGGAGAATGAAAACTCAAACTCCCTTTGGATAGGTAAGGGGTGCTCTTTGTTAGGTGTGACGTGAAAGCTCTATACTCGTATGGTAGAGGTTTGTTTAAAGGTGTACATTTATCTGATGGGTCTGTGAGTCGGAGCTCTTATCACTATAATGGGTTTGGGGATTATATTTTGTAAGAATGGGATAAGAGCTTCATGTAACTGCTGTAGGTGATTTTATAAGAGGACTCACTAAGAACTCTATTATTTAGATAGCCGTATCTTACTTTGGAAATGAGAGAAGAATCCTGTGTCCCTAAAGCAGGTAAGTGGTTTAGATCTCTCTGCCATTGTGATAATTAAAAGGTCTGAGTAGAAAGCGAAGAGAACAGGTAGTTACTTGTCTGAGAAGGCAATAACTAAGAGTACTCTGAGTTACTGTTGCAGTGGGCAGGAAGGGCACATAACTGGTAAATTAGGGGTTAATGGCTATGCGTGTCACACAGACCATGGACGAGTACTGATAAGGGCAATATGTGTGAATTTAGAGAGCAACTAATGTTTCACCAAACTAGAAGCTAAACATATTGTAACAAGTTAGGGGTTATAAGCAAGCTGGCACACTACAGGTTAACCACTCTGCGAGGCAGAGGAACGCAGCTTCAAAGGGTCAATCAGCAGGTAATTATTAAACGATCTGTTATTCATTTTACATCTTCATCTCCATTTTGTAAACCGAATGTACATGTGCTAACTAGTGGCAATCTGTGCTCAAGTCTAAAGCACATGCTTAAACAAAAAAAAAGAAATGCAAATTATTATTCTATTAACTTTTTTTGATAAAAGAGTTTTAGCTCAACACAAAAAGGCGTAAATTGACTCATGGCTATTTCATAACATTTATATTCAAATATTAGTGAAAGAGCCTCTCATTGTGTAGCAATAATTTGAAATTTCCTATAAAATAATTTGAAAAGAAATACATTTGAATGCACAGAAAGTTGGTTGTATTTCTTATTCTACTAAATCGAAAGATGGCAGGTTTAAAGATGACCGGTTATCAGATGGCATTTGGGGGCACAATCACTCCATCCATTATCGGAGTTTCCCCTTTACTAACATTTTTGTAAATCTTTTGCAAATCATAGAATGTATTACAGCACTGCGGAACTTGTTGGTGCTTTATAAATAATAATATTAGATTCAATTTGGAATGTATTAACTTAATTGAGAATTGTAGAGAATTTTTTTTAGATCAAAGTAACAATTCAGGCCTAAAATGTTAAATTCCATTACCCTGTCGGTTCCCAGTTGAGTATAATCCTTTCTACTTTCATTTTTGAAGGAGGAGACAGGAAAACAGATTTCAGCTAGATGGCACCGCCAACCAACTTTGCGTCAGATGCTACCAATCTGTTGTCCGCTATCTGACTCTTCAGCCTACCCAGCATAGCTGTGGTTTGGTAGTATTTAAAGGTGATATGTTCTTCAGGACAGGATTTATATCGGTTAGACTCTAGGATTGGGGCTAGTGATTATCAGGTGGGCTTTTTTTCACTAATACTGAATTGTGGTGAATTCAATCAAAATTGTAAACATAGAATGTGACGGCAGATAAGAACCATTCGGCCCATCTAGTCTGCCCAATTTTCTAAATACTTTCATTAGTCCCTGGCCTTATCTTATAGTTAGGATAGCCTTATGCCTATCCCACGCATGCTTAAACTCCTTCACCATTTTAAACTCTACCACTTTAGCTGGAAGGCTATTCCATGCATCCACTACCCTCTCAGTAAAGTAATACTTCCTGATATTATTTTTAAACCTTTGCCCCTCTAATTTAAGACCATGTCCTCTTGTTGTGGTAGTTTTTCATCTTTTAAATAAAGTCTCGTCCTTAACTGTGTTCATTTCCTTTATGTATTTAAATGTTTCTATCATCAATTTAGGCTAAAACAGCTGAGCTGTGTTAAAAAGTGTATGTAAATCTGACATTTCAACCTAAATGTTGTAATGTGGTTTTAAGTCTGCTACAATTCACAGGGCTGTTCAGTAAAGTGAGAATATGACGTGAAATCAAATTGAATCTCAAATTTAAAGGGACAGTATATTCACCTGAACTACAGCTTATTGTCATTCTGGTGAGTATAGCCTGTCCCTGCAGGCATTTTGCTATAAATGCTGCCTGAGAAATGAGTGTTTACAATACAGCCTAGGAACTCCTCAGACGGTCACAATGAGCAGCATGTAGACGCTGAACGTTCTCCATAGGAGGAGGAGATGATTGGCATAGCGTGACATTTTGCCATGCATGTGCAATAGTTTCCCAATGCGAAAGCATCTGATTTGCTGAAAACCTCAAATCTCATGTCAGCCAAAGAGGAAGGTTGGGGGAAGGGCCAGATATTGAGGGAAATGGTGAGTAAATCAGCTTTCTAACCCAAGGTAATGGGGATCCGACCACCTAAATTGTGGTTTTACAACTATAGTATATCAGGGTTCACACTTTTGTGGTCCTGACACTATAGTGCCCCTTTTAGGTAAGAATAGCTGAAGTGAAACATTTTCTAAGTCTGCTATGCTTTAACTTCTACTACTCTGGCCTTCAATTTGAAATTCACTTTGAATTCTCACTTTAGTAAATAACCCTGCCCGTATTTAGTGGACAATGTATTTGTTTTTCACGTCACAAAACATAAACATTGCGTTTTTAGGATGGTCTATCTGAAGAGTAGATGGTTAATTGCAGTGCGCCAAAGAAGGGTTAAGCAATGTGCGCCGATCTGCACTATGTTTGGTTACATTCCTCTGCAGAGAGTTTTCGGATGTTTATATTTAGAGCGCGTGGATCTCCTGAATTTAGAGAGACATGGAAAGAATGAGATTTCTATCTGTCCATCTATCTCTGGGCCGGTCTGTTTAATTGTCTGACCTTTTTAAATTCTATTTGCTCATCTGCCGTGTATATTTTCCATCAAATTTATAGCTATATAGTGTAATCACCAGAAATTGTTTTCCTCTGTAGGTAATAACTGGTTTCAATATCTCAATTAACTGTAGAAGAGCCACAACCTGCATTCCCCTATATGTAGGAGAGCACTGCAGCATTTATATTGCCAATAAATTGCTAGTAATCTCAATGTGCACTTCGAATGCATATACATGGAATTATTCACTGAACGAGATATTATAGTGATTTGAAAGTAGAAATGTCTCAGCTAGACTATTAAAGCCTAAATTCTGCAGTTTGGTTGTCAATTTGCTGTTAAGTGACTAAACCACTAGAAACTGGTTTCTGGCCTTGCGCTATTGTACCTATTGGAATTTGCAATTGGAGAAAAATAATATATTGGTTTAAACTGTTTATAAAGAACAAAAAAAACCTGTTTTAAGCCATTAAGGCTTTATGTAATCATAAAAAATAGTAGGAATCTGGTTAATAAGAAAGCTAAATTTAAAGTCTTTTAGATTGTAAGTTCTTTCGCCACGGCCCTCTTCACCTAATGTTCCTGTGTGTCGTACATGTTTTGTTAGAATTTAAGGATTGTCTTGTTTCCTCACGTACAGCGCTACAGAAAACGTTGGTGCTATATAAAGAATCGTAACTAAAATACAGAAAATGTTTTTGTATTTACTAAACTGGGAATTGTTGGAATGAACAAGCAAATGTAAGATAAGATAGCTGAGTTGGAAGAACAATTTTGTAAAAAATTTGTTTTACCTTAAGGTGTGTAATCCCATTGTAAAGCCCTTTCAGTTCTGTTTTAGTGAATCAGTCGCACTGCATGTACTTGGGTTGAAAATGTTTGGAAGGGTAGCGCCCACATCGGGCTGAGTATTGGAAAATTAATGGCATGAAACGGTGCCCTGTGCTCTATGGTGGTTGGACGGTGGAGAGTTAACGTGCAGGCGGATACTGTGATAAATGGGGAGAGCAGTAATACAAAGCCTGAATTAATGTAAACATTTATCTATAATAGATTTAAAGGGTGAGACTGCGAAAAAGGGAATATTGGGACTGAAGGAGTTAAAGGGACAAGGGGGGTGGAGATGAATGAGTTGGGTTGTGACAGGAAGGAGGGGGGAAGAGGCTGGAACAAAAAAAAAAAGTTAGAGAGAACAGAGGTAAATCGCGAGTGAGTGGAGTGCAGACAGAGGGGTAGATCAGGAGTGATTGGAGTGCAGTGAGGAAGGGGTACAGCAGGAGTGAGTGGAGTGCAGTGAAAGGAATAGGTATAGCAGGATTTAGTGGGGTGCAGTGAGATGAAGGTATAGCAGAGGTGAGTGCAGTGAAAGGAAGGGTAGATAAGGATTAGTGGACTGCAGGGAGCGGAAGGGGTATAGCAGGGGTGAGTGGAGTGCAGTGAGAGGAAGGGGTATAGTAGGGGTGAGTGGAGGGCAGTAAAAGGAAGGGGTATAGCAGGGGTGAGTGTAGTGTAGTGAGAGGAAGGGGTATAGCAGGGGTGAGTGGAGTGCAGTGAGAGGAAGGGGTATAGCAGGGGTGAGTGCAGTGTAGTGAGAGGAAGGTATATAGCAGGGGTGAGTGGCGTGTAGTGAGAGGAAGGGATATAGCAGGGGTGAGTGTAGTGTAGTGAGAGGAAGGGGTATACCAGGGGTGAGTGGAGTGTAGTGAGAGGAAGGTATATAGCAGGGGTGAGTGGAGTGCAGTGAGAGGAAGGTATATATAGCAGGTGGAGGAGTGCAGTGAGAGGAAGGGGTATAGCAGGGGTGAGTGGAGTGTAGTGAGAGGAAGGTATATAGCAGGGGTGAGTGGAGTGTAGTGAGAGGAAGGTATATAGCAGGGGTGAGTGGAGTGCAGTAAGAGGAAGGTATATATAGCAGGGGTGAGTGGAGTGCAGTGAGAGGAAGGGGTATAGCAGGGGTGAGTGGAGTGCAGTGAGAGGAAGGGGAATAGTAGGGGTGAGTGGAGTGCAGTGAGAAGAAGGGGTATAGCAGGGGTGAGTGGAGTGCAGTGAGAGGAAGGTGTATAGCAGGGGTGAGTGGAGTGCAGTGAGAGGAAGGGGTATAGCAGGGGCGAGTGGAGTGCAGGGAGAGGAAGGGGTACAGCAGGGGCGAGTGGAGTGCAGGGAGAGGAAGGGGTACAGCAGGGGTTAGTGGAGGGCAGTAATCGATTTTTTGAGGCAAACAATGTGCAGTCTAGAGATGTTCTTGGAGTTGATTAGTCATCAATATCTTAATACAAAGTGCTCTTTACATAGAATCTGTTACCTATAAAGTACCCCGTGCATTTAACAGTGAGTATTGCTACCAGCTAGAGGCCGTATCTTTAAATTATCTGCTGGAACCAGTTATCTGAGGATGCTCTGCTGGCCTTAGACCTCACGGACCCCAGGCAGAGACTTCATGGGTACAGATTCCAGGAGGAAGAGCCCTCAGTGACTGTGACATGGAGTGGATACTTTTCCAGTGAGTGTCAGTAGAACCACAGCTCCACGAATGGAGGGAACACCATTGGCCCCAGCATTTCTGGGTCTTGATGCCCTGCTGGACCTAATGCTATGTGTATGCCATGAGCTGGTTACATCTCCTCTGGCCCACGAGACACACATCTCTGAATTCCTGAGCTGGGGTGAGTGTTCGCTTGGCTAGCTGGGCATCATAGGAAACGTAGTCCTCATCAGCTGGTGTACTCCCAGTTTTTGTACTACGAGATCTGATGCGATGCTTTATGGGTTTAAAAAAAAAAAAAAAAAAATGTTTCCCCTTTTTCTGTCTTTTCAAAAACAGCTGGAAGGCATAGGATGTATTTTAATAAGGGCACAAGCTATAACAGCTGTATAGAAAAAATGCCACAATAGTGAGCCCTAAGTCCAGTGGGCGCAGTATGTAGAAAGATCTCCAAATGTTTTAGTAATGTCAAAGGGAAAAAATAATCTATTTCTAGGTTGGCAAATACTGTGCATATTTTTGTAAAATAGTTTGACTGTAACAAAACTTTCTAGAACAATTTTCTTATTTTAAGGGACAACACTCTAGTGTTTTGCTAAAATGTAGTGGTTTAATTATACCGTACATTTGTTTAGCTGATTTTGTTGCTATTCAGACATTTTTAATGCATGTCTGTCTATCTCAAGCTCTGTATTACTGTTTCATGTTGAGACTGGTGTCATGTCACACACTCCTTGTTACTCTGATTCTTTCTTTTAAGCAGCGGCAGATAAACACGTTTGTACTTAAGGGTATGTTGTTGCTATTTGTAAATTGTGTCACTATCCGTCACTACAATCTGTCTGCAGTTGTCACTGGATCACACTGAATTAGTTAGTGCTGCATATGTTGTTTGTATGAGCTGTTAAGGCAGACCGAAGATTTTCTGTATTTTTTTTTTTTTTACTGCTTTGTAAGTAATGATATGCATTTTAATGTATACACACTGGTTTAACTGGCCGGGTGGGTTTTTAAGCGCAGGGAGTGTTCGATGTCTACATTGAACGCCCTGTAATTACAGATACAAGTCTGTCTGACCCGACGAGTGACACGGAGTCTTTCACGCCCATTGTAGGGTGATGCTCAGAAAGAGCCTAGAAATGTTTTGGGCATCACTGGGTGTCTACAAAGAGCTTGTTTGCCCACCTTGCCATTCCCATTTCATGGTGACAGTGGTCTATGACACAGAGACTTTCACGCCCCTTGCAGGGTGACATGTGGAAAGTGCCTAGAAATGTTTTGGCCATCACTGGGTGCCCTGCAGAGAGCTTATGTGCCCATCCTGCCATTCCCAGTTTGTGGTGACAGTGGCCCATGGACTGGTAAGACTCTTCTGCCCTTTGCAGGGTGACAGCGGGCCTTGGAGGCTGCTATGCCTGTTGCAAGGTGACAGCATATCTGGGAGATGGATCTCCTGCTGCCATAAGGCCTCCCTTGCCCATCGCAGGGTAACTCTAAACTAAGAGTTCACCATGGCCATCACAGGTAGACATAGAGCCTAGGAGGCTGTCATGATCATCTCAGTAAGACATGAAACCTGGGAGACTGCTATGTCTGTAAGAGAGTGACTCAGACAAAGAACCACCTGGAAGTGTGTCCTAGCAAATTCAGGGTGACAGAGCAACTCTGAGGCTTCTTTTCAAAGCATTAACTCGGGAGGTGCACTGCTGGATTCTGAGGCACATTTTAAAAAGTGGACACATACAGATACATACACTTCTAAACATGCAAAGAATGACAAATACCTACACCCAGATTCATAAATACACCTGCACATAAACAGATACAACAATGCAGAGACAGATACACATGTTACATACAACATGCCAGTCAGACATAAATGACCATATCTTCTTGGGGGAGTAATTGCCCCCACCCCTACCTCAACCTCTGGATCCACCACTGAAATGATCACAACTTAGTGAGGACACCTCAGACTGTTGTGGCCTTTTTTGGGGTGGCACGGGAATTAGTAAAAATCCAGGGCCTTCAATGTAGAATGAGACTGTAACAAACTTAGGCCCTCACTGCAGTGTGAAGCATGATCTGTAGTGTTCTACTCCACCACTGCGAACTGGTGTTGTCATATATTGAGCAGATCTGTGACCTTCCATTCCCACCCCCTGTAGGGTAACTGTAACACAGGATGGCCTGTTTCCAGACATGACACTGTAGAAGTGTCGATTTGTTTCTGTGTAAGGTGTCATTAACTACTTGTATCTTACACAGTGCTTCCCTCTGGTGCAATATATACAAAAGTATTGAGAATGCCAGTTTTATCTCCCTAGGGGTCTCGTCCTAAATATACAGTTGTTGCCTAGTGGTTCACCCCCAACATGGGTCCTACTGGATCCTAACTGTCCCCATTTAGCATTCTGAGCATAGACAAATTTGGGACATTCTGTGACTGCCCCCTAATGTCTTTTGATGGGTGACTCTGGCAATGGAGCAACAGTGACAATAGCTATGGCCATCTGTCCCTAACCGAACAAAAGGTTTTCTCCATACTACCTATATAATACGCAGGAAACTGTAAATCCACTACCATTGTTGGGCTACAGCTCCCAGCATGCTCAGTTGTTTTTGGACTGCATGTCCCATTATGACACATTAAAAAAACAACAAAAAACAGCTAAAGATGAACATTAACAGAGCTCTGCCCTTGGGTGGCAGTAATACTGAGATCAGAGACAAGTTTAATAAGATGTAACTCGTGATAGTCCGTCCAGGCCTGGGGGGATCCATGAAGAGACAGTGAACCTTGTTGTGTTGCTTGCTTGATGCAGAAGTGACCCTGGACTGCCTCAGGGAGTTCTGGTCACAAGTAATTTCCAACAAACTCAGAGAGAGAGAGAGAATGAGGCCATTCCATCATACGGATATTATAGATTGAACAAACCTGTGTGTTTCCACCTCATTCCATTCCTCACATTGACTCAGACCAGAGCTGGTAGTCTGCTTCTTACTCAATGGGTGGAGATGCCAGCATGCCCCTTTTCCTATAGCATGATGGGCACAGGAGCTGCCAGTCTGCCCATTATCCTAAGGGTGACGGGGACAGAGAAGCAGTTACTGTTATCCTTAACCCTATTTGTGACTCAGAAGACAGGACCTGGCTGTAGTAGGTGCCAGACTGACCCAAATCATCTGGTTAATACAGAGTAGCTGACTGTCTCTTACCCTCTGTGTAACACAGGGTATCTGGCAGTCTTTTCTTTACAGTACCACAGGCAGGGAAGCTGGCAGTCTCATCCTTACCCCTATCTAAGTACCACAGGGTAGCCGGATGTCTGTCTTTTAACTTTGGAGTACCACACACACACAGTAACTGGCACTCTGTTTATTACCCTTTAATATGACAGACTGTGCAGCTAGCAGTCTCTTTTCCCATTGGAATATTACAGATAGAGCAGCTTGCCGTCTCTTTTCTCCTTGAAATATGACAGACCGAGCAGCTTGCGGTCTCTTTTCCACTTGGGATATGACAGACAGAGCAGCTAGCGGTCTCTTTTCCCATTCGAATATTACAGATAGAGCAGCTTGCCGTCTCTTTTCTCCTTGAAATATGACAGACCGAGCAGGTAGCAGTCTCTTTCCCCCTTGGAATATGACAGGCCGAGCAGCTTGCGGTCTCTTTTCCCCTTGGAATATGACAGACAGAGCAGCTAGCGGTCTCATTTTCCCTTGGAATATGACAGACAGAGCAGATGCAGTCTGTCTCTTTCTACTCAGGATCAGACAATGACACAGACAGATGTGCCGCAGATTGACATGTAAAACAGATGTCAGTCTATCTCACATGATGACAGACAGACGGCACCAGGATGCCTGTTCCCCTGTGCAGGGGACATTAACGGATGGAATGGGTTAAATGCCCAGACAAGGGGTGGTAACGCTCTTACATTAACCATATGTGGAGTCTGTAAGAGCGCAGACTGACAGTCCATAAAAGGAAGAGCTCTTACACTGCTCCCCTCACACCCTGTGATCTGATACCGCAACACCCCACTATCTGCAGTTTAACAGCGCAGCCCCCCAATATGTTCCCCGCCCAAATCATTAACCACCTCACCCCCCTGCCTCTACTACACTGACAGTGGTCCCCTCCTCTGTGATGTTTAATACAGCAGGCCATGTATTGCGCTGAATAAATATATTTCTCCTTAGTCCAGTTTCCCAACGCTGCAGAGTCCCAAACTAAGGCCTGGAATTAATTTGTTTTAGTCAGAATCCGAAACGATTCCAATCTGCTAGAAAAGACTTTTCAAATGATTAACCTACAGAAGACACAGTTAAAAGAATACACATCTGTATTCCGAATCCTACAGTACTGTTGTGGCCGTTTATTTTAGCTCCCCAGATATTAAGAAATAAAAAGGAAATAAATAAAAACAAAATGAATTACTTACCTCTTCAACGTCGAGTCTCCCTTAGTGCTGCCGCCATCTCCTCGAGTGACGTCCATCCAATCCAATGCTGAACACCTGGGTACCTTAGACGCTTACATGGTGCTCGCCGCGCTTCCAAGCCTTCTATTTAGGGAAATAAAGGGGCTTGGGGGTCAGGACAAAGAACAACTTCAATAAGATGAAGTTGTTATAGTGCCTACAGTGTTCCTTAAAAGTCTATGGGATTTTTTTTATAGATAAATAATTTGAAAAGTTTTTCTAACATATTGGAATCATTTCTGATTCAAATTAATTAATGGGACACTATAGTCACCAGAACAACTACAGCTTATTGTATTTGTTCTGGTGAGTAGAATCATTCCCTGCTGGTGTTTTGCAGTAGACATTGTCTTTTCAGAGGAAAGGCAGTGTTTACATTACAGCCTAGGGATACCTCCACTGGCCACTCTTTAGATGGCTGCTAGAGGTGCTTCCTTTGGCAGTGCTGCACAGTGAGCAGTACTGCCATTCAGTGTCTCCACCCTCTGCATGCATACACTGAACTTTCCTCAGAGAGATACATTGATTCAATGTATCTCTATGAGGAGATGCTGATTGGCCAGGGCTGTGTTTGGCTTGTGCTGGCTCTGCCCCTGATCTGCCTCCTTGTCAAGCTCAGTCAATCCAGCGCTTTCCTATGGGAAAGCATTGTGATTGGCTTAGATTGCCACTTCTGATGATGTCAGCCAAACAGGCAGATCAGGGGCAGAGCCAGCAGCAGCAGACTGCAATAAAGGTAAGATTTTCCTATATTTAGAGAGGACAGAGGGGCTAGATGGTGGTAACACTATAGGGTCAGGAATACATGTTTGTGTTCCTGACTATAGTGCCCCTTTAAATTGTGGCCTATGTTTTTTACACTAAGACACACACACTCTCTCCCTTTCCCTGAAACAGCTGCAGTCGTTCTCCTACTTTATACTTGTCTTACACTAGATCCCGACTTAATGCACCATTTCCATTGTCTTCAAGGGTTTATATTGCCACTGATAAACAGGTCTTATGATCCAGATAGCTTTTGTTTCCCTAAAACACATGTCTCTTGCTCTATTCTATGTCTAGGTTTCTTGCACTAGTTCCCCAGTCTGCAGGTTCTTACAGTGTTACTGTGTTTTCTCATTTTTATGATGCCGGATCAGTTTTTTCCTGGGTCCGATGGTGCTCTTTGCTGGCCTTTTCCTGGGTCTGGTGGAGCCCAGCTCTGGCCTTTTCCTGGGTCTGGTGGAGCCCAGCTCTGGCCTTTTCCTGGGTCTGGTGGAGCCCAGCTCTGGCCTTTTCCTTGGTCTGGTGGAGCCCAGCTCTGGCCTTTTCCTGGGTCTGGTGGAGTCCAGCTCTGGCCTTTTCCTGGGTCTGGTGGAGCCCAGCTCTGGCCTTTTCCTGGGTCTGGTGGAGCCCAGCTCTGGCCTTTTCCTGGGTCTGGTGGAGCCCAGCTCTGGCCTTTTCCTGGGTCTGGTGGAGCCCAGCTCTGGCCTTTTCCTGGGTCTGGTGGAGCCCAGCTCTGGCCTTTTCCTGGGTCTGGTGGAGCCCAGCTCTGGCCTTTTCCTGGGTCTGGTGGAGGCCAGCTTTGGGCTTTTGGTGGGTCTGGTGGGCCCAGCTCTGGCCTTTTCACAGGTCTGGTGGAGCCCAGCTCTGGCCCTTTTCCTGGTGCAATTGGAGCCCAGCTCTGGCCTTTTCCTGGGTCTGGTGGGCCCAGCTCTGTGGCCCTTTTCCTGGGTCTGGTGGAGCCCAGCTCTGGCCTTTTCCTGGGTCTGGTGGAGCCCAGCTCTGGCCTTTTCCTGGGTCTGGTGGAGCCCAGCTCTGGCCTTTTCCTGGGTACGGTGATGGCCAGCTCTGGCCTTTTCCTGGGTCTGGTGGAGCCCAGCTCTGGCCTTTTCCTGGGTCTGGTGGAGCCCAGCTCTGGCCTTTTCCTGGGTCTG